TTACCGTTTTATTTCTTAATTCCGTGATGCAGGTATTCTTGTTTCACATTATTTCCGACTATGAATTAAAAGTTATAGTGACACGACATGTAATTATTCGATATCGTTTAAAAATACATTATATAAAAATACATGAACAGTCATCAAAACCTACTAAGCGTATCACTGCTAGAATGTTTAAATTAACTAACTAATTTTTTAAAGTTATAGAGGGCGTTACATACATAATCTGTTTACCTCATACTCTCGGTTAGAACGTAGAAGATGATTGAACTATGGTTTTGCTTTTACGCTTGTATGATACAACTTACATTTTTGAAATGTCCATAGATTAACACTGAAAGGAGAGATAATGCATTTTCTAATATTTTTAGCTTTTCCGTATTCCGAAAAATCCTAATTAGTTATTGGTTGACAATCATATTTCATGAACTTATTTATTCTATTTTTTCAAAGTGGCTCATTTCATGCAAACATCCGATCAAATGTCATCTGTGAGGAAATAAAACCGTTCCAGTTTATGTGTACGAATAGAATGGATACGTCTTGACGAGTATCAGTACAGTAGACACTGTGTTAATGTCTTTTGAGTTTACGTATTAAAACAGTTCTCTACTATTAGTTGTTAATGTGAAGGTATCGAGAAACGTTGTTAGCTAAAAATCAAACAATATTTTCCCAAGGTGAAGGAGGGATAAAATGCTTATAGATGTCGCTGTATTATGTCGATCAATAACCCCGCCCGAAAGTTCTTTGATAGAACAGAGATATTACGAAATGGCACCTACAGCAGAATCACACAAAACTGTTTTGTTATCCATCGTATATGCTGTCTTCCTTTTCTCTTTTACTGAAACTTGGAATTAAAGAAGATGCACTACTGGAGCGAACGTCATCATTCTCGAGGAAAAGGTTACAACCTTTTGTAAGTGCGTAGCGTGTTCTTTGAACGGCTGATGATGGCTAGTATTACTATTAGTAACGACAAACAACGGATAAGACGACCTCTATGCCTTTGGATCTGGCTACTTCCCGTTGTCTCTTGCCAAGGTATATTACACCATAGTGGTGTATCTTTACATCGGTCCTTTACTCCATACATCAACCTTTATTTTTCTTCATCGACGTTTATATTTAAAAGTGAAACTAGGGTGGGAAACAGTATATAAGCGAAATATTTTACTTGTTTGAACATAGAATTAAAGCGATGCGATCACAGTCTATAGGCGATGTGACTTTACTGGGTGGTGTAACTAGTCCTAAGTAAATGGTATTGCTTTTTATACTATGTGTTATAACTCTAGTCCTAAGTGCTATGGCTTTTATACAATGTGTTATAACTGTAGTCTTAAGTGCTATGGTTTTAATCTTAGATGGTATAACTCTAGTCCTAAGTGCTATGTCTTTTATACTATGCATTATAACTAATCCTAAGTGGTATGACTTTTTATTCTAGGTGATATAACTCTAGTTCTAAGTGATATGGCTTTAAGTTTAATCCTATGTTGTATAACTCTAGACCTAGACGGTATGAATTTAGTCTTAGATGAATGGGTTTAATCTTAATTTTAACGGTTTTTCATCCTAGGTAGTATGGTTTTAGTCCTGTCAAAATAACGAGATGTTTAGTTTATGCTTGTCTCTTTTACAAACTGAGTGTTTTTATACAGAGTTAACATGCTGTGAATGGTGGTTTACTTCTGCTATGGATGTCCAAATATTTTCGTTGGTGGTGAAGACACATTGTGACTGACTTAGGTTTGTTAAGAATGGTAATATGTGAATGGTGATGTCGAAGTATTGCTAATCATAACTGATCACGCAGGATGGATAAAGATTCAAATATCTGTTGGCTGGTGTTCCAGGTTTAAAATGATTGGAGATGCGAGCTTATTAACATTAATTATTATAATATAGGCTTATGATGATTGGTGATCTATAAGGACAAGGAACAGTTATGCAGGCTTGTTATGAGTCCTTATTTAAATTGGCCTTGACTGTTGATATACATTCATAATTCTTTTCTGGAGATGTTAACACGGGTGGTGAATTAATTACTTTTACTTTTGGCCTAACTAGTAACTTAGAATTCTGGCGATTTAAGATTCTCGTGACTGGTTGTTATGGATTTGTCAAGGCTGATAATGGGGAATTACATTAAATAATGAGTTAGGCTTTTCCTGTTGGAGAATATATTACACGTGTATCGTGACAACCTTTGTAGTTAATTGTGATTAGTAATGCAGATTTAGCATGACTGGTGATGTGGAATTACTATTACTGTTATTTTAGAATTATCATATTTAGTTATTATACATTTTCTTCCTATAAATGAGTTTATGCTTTTATAATGATTATAACATTATTTTTGCTGACATATCATGACTGATTATATATACATTATCATGACTATATGTTTGAAATCTAAAAGACAAACGAATAAAATTATTATGTCTGGTGGTAGTCTTATCGTGGCTGAACTGTCGAAGTACCAAGAAATGTAGGCAAAATTTTCATAAATCGAAATGTAAGATTATCATGACCGGTTATACATGTTTTCAATGACTGGTGATGCAGAATTATCATAACTGTTGTGTTTGTTTTACTATGATTGACGATATAGAAATATCATAACTCTAAATGTAAAGCATCTTGAATCGTGATACATGTTTGTTATGACCGATGAATCAGAATTATCATAACTGTTGTTACTATCATATTATGGTTGATGATATAGACATATCATAACTCTAAATGTAAAGTATCTCGAGTCTTGATAAATGTTTGTCATGACTGATGAAGCAGAATTATCATAACTGTTCTTATTGTCATTTGATGATATAGATATATCATGACTCTAAAGTAGGCTTATCATAACTGGTGGCGTACAAGTATGCAAAATTATTATAACCTTTAATTTATTACTGATGATGTAGAACTTTCATGACTTAAGTTTTAAGCTTGTCGTAATTGGTGATAGAGAGTTATTACGTCTCGTAATCTAGAGTTATCATGACCAGTGATTCAATATCATCTGTTGACATAGGGTTATTATGTATGACAATATCAAATTATAACTATAATGATTAACTTCTGTTATGTCTGAAAAGCTACAACAATTCTTCATTGTTAAGATAGGTATGTGTCGCAATTATAAACCTTAAATTTTTAAAACTGACGGTTGAATTTTAAGATTACGCATTTTGAATGAAGTATGCTTGTTATCATTGTTCATGTAGAAATATTATAAATACTTGGCCGTATGGTTGTGATGATAGAATATCAATCGTGTCATTGTTAGTAATATGTACTATTAATTTAACTTTAATTATTAACTGCCTTTTATACAAGTTGATAATTAGATTGTATCATACATTCCGGTGGAAGAGGCCGCGTTTTGATCCTGGGTCTTCTGGTTGGAAAGGCTGGTGTGCTATCGACTGTTACTTAAGTGATCTAATAGGCTGCTAACAATGATTACAATAGACATATTTTGTTTTTTAATGAAAAAAATGTTAATTTAGCTGTTAATGATTTTATTAACTGGTGACAAAATGTTTTCTTACCTGGAAATGTATAGTTATAATTATGTGTTGTTATAGTTATGTATAGTTATAATTATGTGTTGTTATAGTTATGTATAGTTATAATTATGTGTTGTTATAGTTATGTATAGTTATAATTATGTGTTGTTATAGTTATGTATAGTTATAATTATGTGTTGTTATAGTTATGTATAGTTATAATTATCTGTTGTTATAGTTATGTATAGTTATAATTATCTGTTGTTATAGTTATGTATATTATAATTATGTGTTGTTATAGTTATGTATAGTTATAATTATGTGTTGTTATAGTTATGTATAGTTATAATTATGTGTTGTTATAGTTATGTATAGTTATAATTATGTGTTGTTATAGTTATGTATAGTTATAATTATCTGTTGTTATAGTTATGTATAGTTATAATTATCTGTTGTTATAGTTATGTATAGTTATAATTATCTGTTGTTATAGTTATGTATAGTTATAATTATCTGTCGTTATAGTTATGTATAGTTATAATTATCTGTTGTTATAGTTATGTATAGTTATAATTATGTGTTGTAATGCATTCCTTGCCCTTTATATACTGTAAGTAAGGTAACTTCTTCATCATGGCCTTCACTGTGGTAATAACTTTACAAATGTACCAGCAGACTTCTTTTTGTTTATTTTTCATGCTTTTATTTAACAGGCGTTTATCTAGATTATTTTGGAAGCGACACATGATTTTCAGAATTGGCTAGAAATCGTCTTCAGTGATTTATCCAAATAAATTAAATATTTTACAGCTACTATCACAGCACTTCCTAAATTTTACAAAACTATTGTTTGTTTGTAATTAAGCACAAAGCTACCCAGTTGGTCATCTGTGCTCTGCTCACCACGGGTATAGAAACCCGGATTCTAGCGTTATAAGTCCGCAGACCACTGGGGGGGGGGGGGTTAAAAGTAGTTAATTTATTCCCGGATAATCTGTTTAATAAACTGTTGCTAATCCAACTAGGCCTATTCTTATCCTTGCTGCCTAATTCAAAGTACAATAGACAAACATAAAACTCATATCCCATTGGAAATTAAGCCTAAACATTAACTAAATACTTCTTTACAAAAACTCTTTACACAAAAACAATTTTTTTACGGGTCATGTATTCTCTAATTATCTAATCAGACAGCTGTTACAAAAGTTCATGTTCTAGTAACCATTTTTATGTTCTCACGTGAGATATTCCGAAAGACCTTCCTTTGAGGAATATTTACTCACCCATATAATTTCTTCACATTATCTACTGCAGTTCTAAACTTATCTGTAAACCAATTGTGTTAGTTTCCTTACTCTGCTGTCCTATAAAAGGCAAAAAAGTGCTACGTAGTGAATAATAATCATATTTGAACTTGTTACACCAATTCCATATTATTCTTTTTATTCTTCAGGATTATGTTTTTCTTTTCTCACTTAGGATGCATTATTTAATAGTTTCCCGGTGGGTCAGCGACAAATTTACGGAGTTACAACGCTAGAATCCGGGGGTTGATTCCCCGCGAACGACGGAGTGCAGACAGCCCACTGTGTAACTTTGCGCTAAAACAACAACTTTCTCGAATAATCTTACTTGAGGTGGCATAATGAATTGGCTCTTTCCCATTTTATATCTCCTTCTTTAACGAAAAGATCCGCATATAGCTCGTTTATGTACGACGAACAACGTATCACTACGCCGGAACCCACGCTTTCCAAAATCAATATGCATACCATCTTACCATGTTATCACTGATTATCTTTAGATTCTAACAATCAAACTGATGAACGATGTCAGTGGTATTCTCTCATGTGTGATGATTTACTCGGCCTTATCGCAATTTTCAGGACGACCAGAAACGAAGTAAAAGGGCATAGTTACTTTACGACCAGATCTAAAAGATATTGTTGCGTAACCCGTATCTTCTGTCGTTCGTTGGTTAGAGAGAATAAGTTTTATACAAACATAGCTTGCCTACCATAATAAATCTAGTATACAAACCCTTAGTTTGAAAATCCTTTACTTGTGCTTTAAATCGTTTAATTTTATCACTACACAGTAGGAGTATTTCTAAAACTTCGTTTTGCCTCAATTCAAACTGACTACCATGAAACTTCTAACGTTCCAAGCGCCTTCAGTTTGTTTGTGTTTCTTTTCTGCTGTAGAACTTTCTCTACCAATCATTAACGTTTTTATGGTTTCATCTAAAATTATGTACTAGGCTTAAGTCATAATTTCGTCTTACTCTTTAACAATCTCAATTCTGTATAATCAGTTCGAAGATATTATATAGGTATATTAGTGAAAATGATTCCCAGTTCAGATAGTGTTTAATACCTCTTTTACAAGTAGTATATGTTGTTGTTTTTCTGGTTACCTCATGGGTTAAATAAGATAATTAATCATCGTTTTCTTTCCGTCTTGTAGTTGTATTTCTGTAGACATCCATTAGTCGGACTTCCGCAATCTTTGTGTTTAGTGAGCATT